GCATATTTATATATATAAATATATATTTATATATATGTATCCGTACGCATATATATATATATAATATAATATACATATATGAAGACGCAACCGATCGTATTCTTTGTCGCATGCGATGGTCACGTTTGCTGCTCAGTCAGTGTTGCGGACAGCTTGATAGAGGAGTGTTTGCCTTCTTAGTGTACAATCTGCGGATGAATGTTAAACCGGATGCCTATTGCGTACCGAACATATTCCTTCCCTTCTCCCCTCTACCTGGAGCAATGTGTCTCTGGATAATTCACATTCAATCAACCGGCGTTTGCATTGAGATGGTCGCTCTCTCATATTTCATTCACTTCGTCTGTGTGTCGAACCCCAACACTGGCATTTAATTATCACCGAGACAACGTTTAACGTCTGAAGGTACCAGACGTCATTGGTATTTAATTATCACCGAGACAACGTTTAACGTCTCATTGTACCAGACGTCATTGGCATTTAATTATCACCGAGACAACGTTTAACGTCTCATTGTACCAGACGTTGAAAGGTTTCTCACACCGATCCATCTTGTAGTTCCAAGGCTCACGTTCCTGTGCATACCTAAACGTTTTGAACTTCCATTTGAATATGCACACAACTATCCCACCCTGTGGGCTTGTCTCAATAATTGAAAACGTACTAAGTGGCTCGTTGGTTCGTTTGTTATATTGTTGGCAGCTGTAGAGTTCTCCGCCCACGTTAACTAGGCTTGCTCTAAGAAAAACCCTACGCCCTTCAAAACAACCCTAAAAACCCTACACTCTTCGACACATCCTTTAGCCTCAGGGCCACGTGCAGACCTTCCTGAACATGATGGAGTTTAACATGTTGCCCCAGAATGCGTTAAACGCCGGCCGATTCTGTATATTCACAGGCGACGCCGACGGTGCCATATACGTTGAGGACAGCGTAAACATAAATGTCATCGCAAAGTTGCGAGAAATGGGACACACTGTCTACCCAATATCCAAATTCGGTGAGAAGAAATCTGTGGCATACACGGTGGAGTCTCGTCGTGAAATTACTATTGAACGGGTCAAAGACAAGGCGAAACTGGATCTGGATCGAGGCTGTTTTGGCAAAGGTGTGATTATCGAGAGACGCGAAGGAGGTAGAGTTCTGTGCGGTGGAGCTGACCCGCGAGGGGATGGTGTCGCCTTGGGTTGGTAGAATAGTACAGCCACTGCAATAAAGATACACAGTTATAAAAGATTCAAAAAGTAGTACATGGGGAAACAGCACATACACACACACACACACACATATATATATATATATAGATATAGATATAGATATAGTATATATTATA